CTTGACTCAAAAGAGAAATATCATTTGGAAGATTTTCCTCGTAAGTCAAAATAGGCTTTTTTCTGTCATTCATAAATTCTCTAAATGAGAATTTGGGTTAGTTTTGATATTCTAGTGTTATATAGAATTCTATTTTCTACTAAATCACGAATTAAGGTAAGTTAGAACTCAAGAGAATCAAAACCTATAAACGGTTTTCGAACAGTTACTCTTTACATGCGACAACATTTTTCAAAAAAAATTCGTTTTGTTTGAATTTTGATATTTAGAATGCAATAGATTTTGATGGTTGATAGTAATCACTAAAACGACAAGCGAATTGAGTATATATGAAAAGACTTTCTTCTAGTTCCGATCAAAATACAAAACTGAACTAGATGAAAAATTCTGTGTAGACGTCGTTTCTGTCAAAAGTTTGCACTCAATGACCAAACTTTAAACCGGTAAAAAATTTGAGTATATAGTTAGAAAAATTGTGAAATTCTGATTCTAGGTGATTACTTTTGATCAAATTCCTATTAAAAACTCTGAGCGAAATAGTAAATAAACAGTAGAAAAAAAGCTATTGTTTTCATTGACCAAAAGACCTCCAGAATTTCCACGTTTTATTCTGTATATCTATCATTGAATATAAATTATAGTGTTCTATTGATCATCAATAGTTATAATATATTGAGAACAACAAAAAAGATTAAGCTTTTCAGATAATCTTTTAATTGAACTTTGATTTCAAAAATTTTCTTATCCATTGTATAAAGAAATATTTTTGCAATTTGTTTTAAAATTATATATTAATCATAAAATCAAATTTACAACGTCACATGTTATGTACGAGTCACAATGAACCGGTAAAAAAGAAATAGAAAGAAACGAAAACGATTACAAACAGTAATTTTATGTACATTAGACGCGGTCATGAATAGAAGGGACAACTAAAAAACTGAGCAGTGGATATGTAACGTCTTATATATCTTGAAAATATAAATCTAATTTACCATCTGACATCAATAAGTTTAAGAAATCAGATCAAGAAGACTAAAAAGCTTTTTTTTCACATTATATGGATTGCATTGGAGTAATCGATTTCGCTTTCGTTGATGAAACTTCTGTCGGTAATAATGATTGTGGTATAATAACAGGTTTAGTAGTGGTTGTAGCAGTTTTTGTTATCATTGATGAGTCATCATCATCTTGTGATGAGTCAAATGTTTGTTTTAAAAGTGCATAAACTGGATATGTAAATGCATTTGTTGGAATAGCACGAAGAGTACACGGTAAAAAACCTCGAGTAAATACTCGCCATCCTTCAGTACGAAGTGATTTAACTGCACAATCCCATACACCTTTATAAACATGATCTTTTTCTGCTTGGTATCGACTTTTAATAACATCAAATGGATATGATACTGTCCAAGCAACAGTACCAGTAAAAGCACCACCTAATAAACTCATATACATAGGCATATCTACTTCTCTACCCGTTGGAGAAACATGTGTAACAAAAAATTTCCATGCTGGAAAATAAGCAGCAAACGATGGAATATCACGTGCAAGTGTCATCGATAAACCACGCATAACACCATGTCGAAAACCTCGTCTATTATAAGATTTTTTTAAACAATCAACTGGACCATTATATAAATGAGTTGTTAATGCAAATAATTTTCTTTGTTGTCCAATACCTTGTATTTGTAAACGTGTTTTAACAAGTTCAATTGGAGAACAAATAAAAGCTTGTACACTACCAGCAATAGCACCTGTTACTGCTAATGCTTTATATGAGTCAGGATCATCAAATAAATTTTTTGAAGCATTTTGAACAGAAAATACAACACCATTAATAATTGCAACACCAAACATAGGTGATGACATGCCTTTATAAAAACCTAATACTGATTCTTGTTTTGCAATTTTAATAAAACAATCTAATGAACCAGAATATAAACGATGACTGAGTGTTTGTGTTTGAAGACGAACTTTTACTGTATCAAATGGATAACCAGCAACTGTGCCAGTCACACCAGCTATAAAACCAAAGCCAAAATCCAAAGCCATGATAAAAATATGTTAGTAAAATGTAAAAAACACTAAATATGTGAATTTGAAAATTGTCAATGATGCAATGTTGTATATTACAAAGTTAAGAAACAATGGAAAAGCATAGAATAAACGCTGAGACACACCTCTCTTGCGTTCTTTTTATTATTCTTGTATACATAGATCGACGCAAAAGGGGGTAGCAGAAAAATCTGACTGCGTAGGTAATTCCGCATGTCTATGTGCACACTATGTGTTTATTTCGAGTCATATTTCTTTTTCTTTGACGTCATCTACGATTTTTTCTTTTTTTTTCTTTTTTTTCTTTTTGTTCTTCAGTTGCTTGTTATTTTCGGCCGTACAGAACAAATAATACAAACATCGTTATATGCAAGAAAACAAAATGCATAAAAGCATCATACACTTTCATCTGTTGCTCTTCTCAACTTACTCCCTTCGAAAGATTCTAGAACAGTAAAATGTCACTGCAGTGCATTTTAAGGTGAAAAATAATACATTTTTTGCCCTTTTTTTCCCGAACAGAATGGTAAAATATTCTATACTATTGGAAGAATCAACAATATATTTCAATGTCCAAACACTAAAGTTGTAAAGCATCAAACGCAAAAAATTCAATTTTTTTTTCGATATAAAATATTCTTTCTAACTTTACAAAACGAAAGAAGTAAAAAAAACAAGCATTATAGAAACCAAGTAATAATTCTTGCATGGATCAAAAAAATAACACATGCCAAAAAAAAGAGAGTAATTATCATGCAAATATCTACATTCTACTCTAAACTTATTTTTTTGTTTTTTATTATGTTCAAACATATTTTTATCTTACACCAAGTATTATTAATATGTCAAATTTAGACAAAGTGAATAATATCAATAAAGAATTTTTTGTTCATTTTACTTTAGCTATACATTTATTTGAAAGTGTTACATAAATTTTTGAAATTGAGGGAAATCATTAGTAATTATATGTCATAGGACTTAGAAATATACAAAATTCGAAATGACGCAATTGATTTCTGTCATACGTCGTAAAGAAATATATTACTCATATTACAAGCCTTCATAAAAGTACTAAACTAGACATACTCAAAGAACAACCCCTATGAGTCATATAAAATAACTACTTTGTGAAAGTTAATAATATGACTCAGAAAAATTCTAATAAAATATGTTATTTTATAATTCGAGCATTTATAAACGTAATCCTGTTGAGTTTATAATTAAATAATTCACATAGAAAAATTAATCAATGATTTTTCTAATAATAATTTCTTCATTTCTACAATTTATTATTTAAAAATTTGTGTTATAGCAAATGAGAAAAGAACAAAATAAAGATTTATTCTTAACTGTTACAATCAAAAACTAATTCTTGTGATATGGCTAGAACGACTCTATTCTCATCTATCAAAACAACTTAAAACTATAGTTTGTATTTAAGCATTACATTGTAAATAATTAATAATTAAAGTTTAAATATTAATTATTATATACAGTCCACGCCCATTGTAAGTATACTCTTCGAATTTTTTGTTTTTTATTAATATACGTTTTTATCTATCAACCTACTATATATAGGAAGAAAGCCTGAAATGCGCTGCATCTTTTGGTATATTTACATTGATCATCAAATGCAGTTTAAAGTATGAAAGATTTATTAGAAGAAAAAGTCTCTTTTTCTTTTTTGCCAGTGTTCATAATGTTGTAACATTTTTTATTTAACATATATCTCGACTTAGGTAAATGATAAAACGTTGAATTTTTTTCCAAACGATGCGCCGTGAAAAGCTCTACAAAAGCTGCATAATCGAATTCTTTTGTTTTTACCTGTTCTAGTGATTTTTCTGATACTCAAAATGAACAAATTACATGCCAGTGTCACTTCCCCATCATACTGGAACTGTTGGAAGACTTTTTTGATCGCCATATATCTCGACTTGAGAAAATGACGAAATATGGAATTTTTTTTCAAAAAGGTATGCCGTCCAAAGCTCTACAAAACTTGTATAGACCAAGTCCTATAGTGAATCAGAGAAGTCCTCGAAACGTTTTCTACATGATGAGAAGTGATACTGCTATGTAAGTTGTTTCATTGTGAGTATCAGAAAAACCAGCAGAGCAGATAAAAAAAGAATTCGATCATGCAGGTTTTGTAGAGCTTTTCATGGCGCATCTTTTGGAAAAAAATTCAACGTTTTATCATTTACCTAAGCCGAGATATATGCGAAATAAAAAATATTATACCAATACGGATACCCGAAATTTGGTAAAAGTAAAAATGTCACTTTTTTTTCTGATACACTTTTTATACTTCAAACTGCATTTGATGGTCAATGTAAATATACCAAAAGATGCAGCGCATTTCGGGTTTTCCTCCTATATATAGTAGGTTAATACATAAAAAACCTATATTAATAAAAAACAAAAAACTCGAAGGGTATACTTTCAATGGGCGTGGACTATATATGTAATTAATAGTTTGTTTGATTTTTATGAACTTGATCATCCGAAATAAAAAAGTTAATTAAAATATCATGATTATTCTTTGTCTTTAATTATCCGTCTGCATTGTCATTATTACAATATGACATATTTTTCTCTCATCGAATGCGTCCACCCATAACGAAACGAAATAAAAGTACGAATAGATGTCAAAGAAAAAAATGACGCGTACATTACGCATGAATGAATATGAACATTTAGAACACCCGAAAAAAATGGAAAAAAAAGTACATTAATTAAAATAGAAAAGTCAAACTAAAACAAAAACATTAATTATGTTTCGACGTTCCAGAACTTTTATTCGTCGACGTTCATTAATTATTTGTATTATCATTGCATGTATTATTTCATTCAAACATTTTTTCACAATATCATTGTTGACTGATAAGCAAACTATTTACCATAAATCTGTTATTTACAACACATCTGATTCATTTGTAATGACAAATTTAATCGATCAGTTTCTTCATACAAATGATAATAAGGAACGTGATGAACTTTGGTCATTAATTGTACAAAGTTGGTCAAAATCATTTGAACTTTATTTAGAAAGAACAAAAACTATTTGTTCATCCTCATCATTATCATCATTATCATTTAATTTTATTCATCAATATCTGAATCAATATACAAAAAAATTACTTGTAGATAATACTGATCTTCAAAGACATTTAACTGCTTTTGGTCTGTTCTTTGATTACAATCTAAAAGAAATTCGTTCAAGAAATCATAATATTTTACAAAATATGTATTTTTCATCATGTACCTATTTTGAGTTAATTGTATTAATTATGAAAGTTCAATTTGTATTATTTGAATTAAATATTGATTATTTTATTGGACAAAATACTTTATTAGGTGCTCTACGTCATCATGATATTGTACCATGGCATTCAATTATTGAATTTAATTTACCATTATTGAGTAAAAAAAAATTCACAAATGATATTAATAAAAATTTTCAACTTGTATTACAACAAGTAAATGACACATATATTAATAAAAAACAAATTGGATTTATTTATAGAGTTTTTACTGAAGATAAAAGTTGGCCACAAATTGAAATTTATTTCTATCAAGAAAATTCTACTCATATATTTGATTCATATAATAATGATGAATTAAATATGAAAATTGGTTATCTACAAAAAACTGATGTTTTTCCTTTTCAATTTCGTCCATTTGGACCCATACTTATATATAGTATTCGTAATCCTTATGCAATGATTTCTATTACAAGATTAGATATTTGTGAAAATCTCCCATGGAATCATCGATTAGAAAAAGAAACAGATAGTGATCATCAAAGTCGAATACCATGTGAACAATTATATGAAGTTTATTCATTTGTTCAAACAAGACAAAGTTGGCGACGAGGTTATTGTGAAGAAACACTTAAAACTAAACGTATAGCACAAAGAACTTTAAGTTATTTCAGATATATTTGTCAAGAGAATATCGTGCATCAATTAGGATAATATGATCAGTAAAAAAAACTAAGAGAACGACCAATCTATTTTTATCATAAGAAGAAAAACAAAATATAGTTTTGATTGAAAAGCTTTAAGGCTTAATATTAAAAACAAAAAAAGAATGAATATGTTCTTAAGTCATGCATTGTTCACAATGGAGGTGATGGCGTGAAGTAAAACTAATGAAAATATTCTCATTCGTCATCTATTTTTGAGAAAAACTGCTGCTATTCTTTTTTCCTCTACGGCTCTCGATGATCAAACGATAACAAATATAGAGGAGAAAAGAGAAAAACTTTGTATTTATATCTACGGCAGCACATAGGTGATTAATAGTTGTTGTTTGACAGTTCAAGGTGTTTTAAAATGCCTAAATCAGACTTTGATTTTACTTTTAAAGTAAGAATATTAATATGCTAAATAATTGTCGAATTTAAAATGATTTCTAGTTTTTTCATCCACCACAACGTACTGTTCCATTTCATAATGGTCTTTTGGATACACGTACAAAACATACGATAGCACAAGATCGTCATGTTGTTGCTGAACAACGTCTTCTTGATGCTGAACGACGAAAATCAGTTAATACTCTTCAATCACTTACATTTGAACAAAAACGACTTGAAAAAAAATTAGCATCACTTAGTGGTAATTTAAATTCTGCACTTACTAATCAACCTTTAGTAATGCGTGGTCGTTCAACAAGTGAAGTTATTTTTCGTGATATGCGCCGAACAAGTTCTTGGGCTGGAACATTACCAATGCGTCATTCAAAATTATCTGTAAGTTTAAATAATAGCAATCAAAATCTATTAACTCTACCAAGAATGGATGCTTTTGAACGGCGTTCTTCATCATATTCTGATGGTGCTACTACGGAAAATACATTTTCTACTAGTGATATGGAAAGTGGTGAAGAGGGAGACAATGAACTAAGAAAAAAATCAAAAACTAATCGTAAAACTACTAATTCTAGAAGGATAGCAGAAAGAAAAACATTGCCGAAACTTGTTGTTAAACAAAATAAACAATTGCTACCTATTGTTGCTGTTATTCCACCAGAAGAAGACGATTTGTTTCTTATAGAATAAATTTCTTTTATTTTAATCATTGTAAATATTAATTATATTAAAAAAAACATTGTTCTTTTGTTTTTTTTTTGAAAACTGATCAAATATACATATTTACTAATGAATAATGTAGTTGTTTTAATACTTTTAAAAATGATTCATTCGGAATTACGTAGTTAAGAAAAAAGAAAAGAGAGTTTTTCATTTCATTGAATAAAAAGAGAACTTTTCTTTTATTAAGAATATAAACTAACTGCTCAATCAATTAGGACTTTTTTCTTCTTTAGAAAAAATATATTTATATAAGAAAAACGATGAAAACAAAAAAAAAGTAAGAAAGAAACATCACCAGACACATGAAAAAAAAGGTTATTTAGTAATTTAGAAAAGATATGAATAGATCGTTAATAAAATTATAACACTTAGTTTTTGAGCAAGTAAATTATTGCCATAGATTGTTTCATAGATTTATCAAAGGTCAAAATGAAATCTATTACGTCTATATAAAATTATTTCAACAAGGACAAAAATAAAAATCACAAGATTAATAACATATAATATAATTATTGCTAATCTATTTAAACGAATATTTAGTGGATAAAATGGTTCAGTTGAACAATTCATTAGATCAGCAGATAAATCAGTCAATCGTTTTATCAATAGAAATTTTTGCTAAAGCACAAGTGAGATTAAATGAATCTTTAACAAGAATAATTTAGTCTAGTAAGATAATGAATAAACTAACGAGATTAACAACAATAAAATTGACTATTATCTAAATAAATTTCAATAAAAGATTTATAGTTGGTTGTGATTCAATACCAAAGTGATTATAATTCATCAATAGTATCTATTTGATTATTTCGAAAAAAAGCAATATTTTGTTCGATCTGGTGTTATCATTTCTGTTGATAATTGTTTAAATTTATTTTTATTAACATTAATCAAAAGAAGATAATTCATTGGAGAAAAGAAATTCAGTTGATTTAAGTAAATTCGATACTAATGAAATTTAATTGAAGAATTTTTTAAAATACTATTCGAAGTATCTGTACTATTAGGGAAGGTTTTTCTTAATGAAGATAAAGATTTATAATTATCTGAAAGTACATTTGATTCAAGACTTGTGCGGTTTTTAAATATGCAAAGACTTTAATGATGTTATATTATTGATTTTTGCAAGATCATCAACTAAAAAAAAAAAGGAACTAACGATTATTTAAAAGAAAAAAGTTGTTAGTGCAATCTCTTTGGAATTAAAATATGAAACATAATGTAACTGCTGTTGCTAATCACAAGAAGATTGTTTTATTCTATTTAGTTTGGGATATATTTTATCATCATCCTTTTACTATGATAACAAGACATTATTGATATATGGTCTGTGATCGTATATCAACACCGTCTGTCATCCGTGTGTGACGTGGAGTTTTGGAATGTTGCGAATGTGTCTGTGACGATGTTTGACAAAAGGAGGAGGGACCGGCAAGTTGTCTGTGACATTACTACAGTAATGTCTGTCATGATATGCGAAAAGGATGGTAGGAGGTCGGTACGAATTTCTACCCTATATACTTCGATATTTCTTTTTTTGGATTGTGTTTCACAAAATTTAATAATTAAATCTACTAGATTTCAATGTTAAAAAATTACTTTCAATAGTTGAATTAAATATAATATTAGTTAAATTACAGGGTATCTCATAAGTTCGTAAGAAAAATAAACGTAATTATTTCTTGAAAAAATTCAAGCGATTTGATTATTTTTTTGTCTAATATGATATTGTGTCCTTTGAAGCTCTATTTAATATAATTTAATTGAATAACAAATGTTAACAGTGATTTATATTAGCAAAAACACCTAAATCCATTATTTTTAAAATATCCAAACAACACGATACAATTATGTTTTCTTCCATCGATTTATTTTCATAATCAGCTCCCATTTTCCATTGAACCTGATCTTTTAAAAACATTACATCGATAATTAATTTTCATTTTATGTTGATTGATAAATCGATTGAAATGAAAAGTGAATTTGTTCCAAAAATAATTTTTTTTTCAATTCTAACTGTGCTCTAGCGTTGATATAAATGTTTTTTTTTTGCAAAATTTTAACTTAATGTTGTAAATCGTTTTCTTGACGTTATTAATTACATCAAAGCTGTTACAATTTCAGCAAAGCATATCGATTCATAATTTGATGCACAACCGACTGTGAAAATCAACAAGCTATTGTAACGCATTGAACACTTTATTGTCATTCATTCTATCAAACGTTACAATCTTCATTCAGCATTTCTTTCTTAATTATGCAAGGTTTTTCAAAACGTTATTGGTTTCCAACAATATCAACTTCATAAAAGCAATGTCAGTATCTTTACTACAATCTACATCTAGCCCTTTCTTTGCTTAATTCAACGAATAAGTCTTGTTGGATCATTAAAGATGACCTGAATTTCGCCACTGATAAAATCTTAAAAATGACATTAAAATAATGAAACGGACAAAAAAATTGATGAACTTCAAATTCATCGATTAAAATAAACATTTTCATTAATTTCATCGCATGATTTTGATTAAAAAGGAAATTCATTGCATTTACTTAATTAAAATGTCGCTTTTCATCAATTGTTTTGTCCATTTCATCATAAGAAATGCCTTTTTTTTCGTGTTGTTGATATAAAATTTACGAAAGTCATGACATTTTTTTGATTCCATGAGATCCATGCCGTTAATTTTTTATCAAAACCAACAGTTCGAACGTTTTACTCCTTCTTTTTATTAAGTTTTTATAATTTTTTTTAATAAATTAATATGTTCTGTCTGAAATAGATTGGTTGCTACTTAGAAAAGGTAGCCTTAATATGCCATAGCATATTTTATCAGATGGTGCCATACTTTTCCTATCAATTAAGTCTTCTGATCAATGAGTACTTATGTGACGCCATCTTTAATGAATAATCAAACTCGAAAACTAAGCAAAAACAGCCGATATGGCCTAGTACAAACAGCATGAACACACTCAAATTTCTATGGGAGTGCGTATTTCGACTGAAATCTAACATTATTCTAAATGTAAAAATATTCATACGATGAGATATAAAAAAAACAAGCAGAAGAGCCGCGATTAATCAGCGGTTTGTTCGACATTAGTAGATCAGCAATGTTCATGATGACGTTGTCGTGACTGCGACGGCGTCAGCGGTACGGTAACCTTATCTCTTCTAGGACCTTGGTGTGGCAGATATTTATTGGACGATATGATAAAGAAAACTTCATAGAACATACTATCATATTATGAAAAAAATAATTAAATCACTTGAATTGTATGAGAGCTATAAACATTTACTTTTCCAGCAAACTTTTAGGATACTCTGTAGATAAGCTTTTTAAATAATAATGAACAATAATTGATATATCAACATTATCACAAGTATCTACTTTACATACATTATGAATTTCACTAGTAATTAAATCAATAAGAAGAATGAAAATCGACCAAAATAAATAAGTTATTTAGAGAAATATCTTTAATTTTTTAAAATTTTTATTTCACCGAATAATTTATTATGAATTATGTTTAACAGAAAAAATTCAATCTAAAATACTGTCAAATGAATACTACGGAAGAAAGCTTTTTATAATATTGTTGATTAAAAATAAAAATTTATCTTTTTAACTCGAGAAATAGAATAGTCGAGATATAGTGCAAAATAGATTCATATTCACTGAGATGAATGCACATAACAAGAAGAAAATGTTTTCTAATAAGAATAGAATAAAAGATTGATTGAAAACAAAGAATACTATATAGGAACACCGATTGAAATTTAAGTAAAACAAATAAGAAAAAAAAAAGAGAGTCGACGAATCAAAACTACTGTATTAAGGCTGCTTCTTCTATTTGAGAACCTCCAACTAAACTTCCATCTGC